CTGGGGCGGCAGGCACCCAGACCCCCCGCCACAGTATCCATCCGGAAGGTTCCGCGGGGCACCTGGGTGGCCCCATCCCATCTCCAGATCTCACTAGGTCCACTGGACTCCAAGCCGACCCCTCCCCCACCCTGCCCACACCTGCCCCCCAGGGCAGGCCTAGAACGCAGGTCCTCCCCCACGGCCTCCCCAGAGGGGCCCAGCCCCACCCCAGCTGTCAGGGAACCAAGAAGGCCCTGGTCCACCGGGGCCTCCCTCTCATGCCGCGGGGTCCAGACCACCCAAGGGGCCTGCCCCCCATGGGCCTGAACCTGCACCCTCATCACCTTGGAAAAGTGACAAGGACATTTCTTGAGCCGGGAACCCCTGCGCCAGAGGTCGGGCGTTTGGGCAAAATCAATGCTCTGTCCGCTGTGGGGGTTCTCGCACTGGACAGCCCAACCCACCACCCAGCAGCCTAGGCACGCCGGACACCCCCAGGCCAGAGAGCCCCTGGCTCTCCCACCCACACCTGCTCCACCACAGCCCACAGCCCACGGCCCACGCAGGCTTCTGGAGGACAGGCTTGAGGGTGTGAGGCCTGGGCAAGCCAGCCGCCCAGGCTGGACACTCCCCAGACCCCTGGAGGCCTCAGGGTGGGCTGCCCAGCCCTCAAGGGGCACATGGCCTTTCGACCTGGGCTCCCTGAGCCCCACAGTCCCCTCTGGGAACTGGGCAGGCTCTCTGCAGGCCCGGCTCTCCAGGGCTCAGCACCGTGGGAGCCAGAGGGGTCACTGCCCAGCGGGTCTGCGACCAGGGTGGGCACAGCCCCTCCTCCCTGCCTGCAGGCCCAGGCCCATCGTTCACTCCTCAGCCCCTGGACAGCACGCAGCTTGTGTAAATCTCATGGGATAAACTCACCCGGCAGGAAGAAAAGCCATTGTGTTTCCTGCCAAGATGGGAAGCGCTGAGTTTCAGCAGCCCTGAGGCCGGAGTCCCCTCCCTGCCACAGCGGCCTCCAGCGCTCCAGGGACAGCTCCCGGAAGCCCCCAGCCCGTGCTGGTTCCCCCAGGGGGCCGGTCTGTGTGGGATGAGGGGTGCAGGGCCTCTAGGCCTTGCCCTCAGCCACTCAGTGGGGGCACGGGGGGTGGAGGCCCCCAACTCCTCACTGGAGGCAGGAAGATGAGCTGCACTGCCCAGGAGGAAAAGACCCCCAGCACGCCCCCAGCCCCTCCTCCCTGCACCCTCTCAGCCCAGCCAGCCCCCCATTCACGGCCCCCAGTCCAGCTACACCGAGGCACCTGTGGCCCCTGGATGTCCACCCCGGCCAAGGTGAGCTGCCCACACCGTTCCCCCACCTGGAGGCCTTTCCTCTCCTCTCCTTCCAGGCCGGCCCTGACCTGGCCTGAGAAGCCCATGCCTCTCCCCACACCCCAACTCCACCTCCCGCCAGCCTCCTTGGGCTGTGGACCCCCAGCTGCAGCCCCACCCTGAAGCAGCACAGGACAGCAGCTCCTCGGGCCCCGAGAGCAACCAGGCTGGGCACCCTGGGGCTTGACCACGAGGACCCACTGACCCCCACCAGGAAGAGCGGATAGCAGGTAGGGTGGGGTGGCAGGGGAAGTGGCCTAGGCATGCCTGCCCTCCATGTGCTGACTCTGCCCACCGAGGCTGTCGCCTGGACACACCAGGGATGCAGTCACCAGGCGAGGCACAGACGAGGGCAAAGGAGGCCGCCATGGACAGCCGCACAGTATAGGCGGCCAGCAGCGAGGGCCCTGGCCTGCAGGGCCACAGCCCGCCTCCCCCAGCACCGTCAGCAGGGCCTGAGCCCGGCCCAGGCAAGCTGGAGGCTGAGGCCACTGTGGGGGGAAAAACCAACATCTCCCTCATGAGGGCCGTGGCGCTGGGCGGGAGGCACTGGGCGGGAGCGAGGCCCATTGATTCCCGCACAATGGAGAAGGAGCCTGCGGTCGGGGTTTCCAGGCCCAGCCAAAGGCGACTTTGTTCACGGCTCCCTCCACCCCCCAGACGGACAGTGATTTATTTTCCCTTCCAGGAGTGGGGCCCCAGACATAAATGGGGCGGCTGGCCCACATCCCCACCTCACAGGCCCTGAGCCCGGCTCCCACATGTCCATCCCTGGCCCCAGCCGCACACTGGCCAGCCACTGCCTGGAGGGACCTAGTGGAGAGAGAGGCCCCCTGCAGCCTGGCCCGAGACACACACACCAGCAGACCCTTCCCAACACAGCCCCGATGGCAGGTCGCCAGAGACTGGGCCATCCTGCAGGGTAGGACACGGCCGGCCGGCACCCAGCCCCCGGGCTCAGCACTCAGTTCGCTCACGACACACCAGCTGGGTCCAGAGGACGGGGGATGACCTCAAGGCCACTCAGAGACTGACCAATTGCGCCATCCTTGGAGAAGTCCAGATGTGGCACTTCTCAGAAAACCCCGAAACAGCTTCTTCCAAAGTTATTTGTGAAAAAGGTATTTCACCCTGAACCTCTCTAATTCCCACTGCGAGAAATAAAATGGAAATGGAGAAAGCCAAATTCTATCTTTTTTTAAGTTAAAAAAAAAAAAAAAAACAGTTTAAGACAAACCCACCAAGATTGTGAAACTTGGGGAAAAGGGGAACTTTAAAAATATGATCTGAGTCTCGAGATGTGCCGATTCCAGAAATTGTGACACTACGGGGAAAACAGCTTTCAAAAACAGCCCACACTCGCTGGGTGCTGGTTTGCTGCCTAAGGAAGGTCCATGCTCGGCCCGCTCACCCGCGAGGTGGGTGGCGCCAGCACTGGCTTCGGCCTCAAGTCCAGGCCTGGAGGAGAAGCCGGCATAGCCAGGAGGACAGCCCCCCAAAACCACAGAAGCCCTCCCCACTACCGCCAGGGCCTAGCTGCATAGAGCCAGGCTCGGGCAGGGGCCGGACACCAGGCGCAGTCCCAAGGCCGCAGCCGAGGGGGACAGAGCAGGGGGTGGCCCCTCGGCACCAAGGCAGGCTCTGCTGCCCACTGTCACCCACTGCCCATTGCCATGCGCCACTCCGCCTCGGGCTCCAGCCAATGACCGGGCCAGGACAGCGGCCTCCAGAGCCTCCCTGGCCAAGTGGCCAGAGGACAGGCAGGTGCGGGATGGGGAAGTCCAAGCAGATAAAAGGGGAATCAGAGTCCGGGCTGCCGGCCGCTGGGCGGGGGGACCTTGCTGGGCATGACCTGAGTGCCTGCAGTGCCCAGGACACTGCCCGGCCCAGCCATGCCTGGGTAGCTACCACCCTCAAGCCAGCCAGCCAGTGCCCGGCCAGGCGGGCGGGGGGGTACCATGGCAGGAGGCCCACCTGGGCCGCCGCCCGCCACCCAACGCCCGAACGTGGCCATATAAGGCCAGATTGGGCTTGGTACGCCCGTAGGGCGGCGGGGGAGGGGTACGAAGCGTCAGAGGGTGGACAGGGCAGGGACGATCCTGAGTGGTCAATACACTGAAAGGCCGGCCTGGCCACAGGTCCCGCCTAACCGAGGGGACGTCAGCACAAAACATGGCGGGCAGGAGTCCTTGGACACGCATCAGCCATCACCCCAGCCGAGGATGCCCCTCACAGGGCTGGCGTGGGGACAGGGGTCCCTCGGGAGGCACCCCAGGCCTGCCCACTGGGACGTCAAGTGTGTGAGCGCACCCAGGCCCTGGCGTGGTACATGGCAAGAGACACAGTGTGCAGCCTGAAGTAGGTGGTCCTCAGGGTTTGGCTTGAGACAGGCCCCCACTCCCAGCCTGTGCAGTGACCCCATGAGCTGAGGACTCAGCCCTGCGGCCCCTACCTTCACCTTCCTAGGGACAGGCAGGCCCAGGGCACAGGGCTGGGTCATGAGTCCCAGACACCAAGAATGTTCCCATTGTCCCCACACTCCACCTTGGCCACCGTGGGGGTCTCTGCAGGTTCCCAGGGGCATAATTGGGTCCACTGTGGCCAAAGAGCCCACCCCTAAGAATCTACAGGGTGACCAGCTGCTCTCGACTGCAGGTACGTGTGTGGATGTGTGTGAGTGTGTCCTGAGGGGGACTGGGGCCAGAGCCCACCCTGCCAGCAAGCGTGGGGCCCCACAGATGAGCTGGTGGTGCTCTGAGGGTAAAGGGGGGACCCTGTGGGTGAGGGTGGACCCAGAGGGTGAGCTAGGGGTGCCCCATAGATGTAGAGGGACTCTGTGGGTGGGCGGAGGTGCCCCATGGGTGAGGAGGGACCCTGTGGGTGAGCTGGGGTGCCCCATGGTTAAGGGGGGACTGTGGGTAAGCTGTGGGTGCCTAGCAGGTGAGCTGGGGTGCCACGTGGGTGAGTGTGGGGACCTAAGGGTGAGCTGAGGGTAAGTGTGGGCCCCTACAGGTGAGCTGGGGGGAGCCTGTGAGTGCAGAGGGCCCAAGGGTGAGCTGGGGTGCCCCATGGTGAGAAGGGACTCTGCGGGTGAGCTGTGGGTGCCCAGTGGGTGAGCTGGGGTGCCACGTGGTGAGAAGGGACTCTGTGGGTAAGCTGGGGTGCCCCCTGGGTGAGCTGTGGGTGCCCAGTGGGTGAGCTGGGGTGCCACGTGGTGAGAAGGGACTCTGTGGGTAAGCTGGGGTGCCCCATGGGTAACGGGGAACACTGTGGGTAAGCTGGGGTGCCCCCTGGGTGAGCTGTGGGTGCCCAGTGGGTGAGCTGGGGTGCCACGTGGTGAGAAGGGACTCTGTGGGTAAGCTGGGGTGCCCCATGGGTGAGCTGTGGGTGCCCAGTGGGTGAGCTGGGGTGCCACGTGGTGAGTGTGGGGACCTAAGGGTGAGCTGAGAGTGTGTGTGGGCTCCCGCGGGTGAGCGCCGTGGGTGAGGGGTGCCCCGTGGGTGAGGGGGCCCGGAAAGCGCGGAGCCAGCAGGGGCGGGGCGCAGGCACGCGCCCAGGCGGGCAGTGTGTCAGGGTTCAGGGTTCAGTGCCGGGAGGGAAAGGGGCGGCGCTGGCGGAGCCGGGGCGCCGGGCTGGGCGCCAGGACTCACCTCGGGCGGCGGCGGCCGGAGGGAGGGCCCCCAGCAGCAGCGGCGGCAGCAGCAGCAGCAACGCGGGGCTCGGCGTCATCTCGGCCTGTCCGGACCTGAGGGTATTGGGCGGCCGGTCACTGTCGCGCGGGTGGGGGTCGCCACCCTCCAGCCAAGGGCCCCGGAGCCGCCAGCACCCCAGTCCCGGGCCGCTGGGATCGGTCGGGCCGGCCCGCCCTCCCTGCGCGCGCTCGGGGCGGAGGAAGCGGCGGCGGGGAGACCCGTGGGTATCAAAGGCAGACAAAGGGTTTACACTAATTACCGGACTCCCCCGCCGCCCCCCCTCTCCAAACACCGTCTGGATTCCTGGCGCTTGTAGCTCGGGCCCTGCCCGCGGGACACACAACACCGGCGGCCCCGCAGATAATCGCCTGCGCCATTAGCGGACAAATTTGCGCTGGGGGGGGGGGGCCCACGTGGGGTGCAGGGGGGGCGGGGCGCAGGGAGGACCACGGGCCGGGCAGGAGCGGCGGCGGCGCGTGCCGTGCCCGGAGGCCCCGCGCAGGGGATCGAGGACCTGGACCCTGCCCGCCCATGCCTCGGACCCGGGACCCGGGACCCGGGCCCTCTCAGTCGGTCCCCTGGGGGGCACGGGCGCGCGCGGAGGGGCTCACCTCGGCGGGGCTCGCGGGCGGCGGGGCTCAGGG